CACCCCTGGCATAGCTGGTGGCACCCCTGGCATAGCTAGCAGCACCCCTGGCATAGCTGGTGGCACCCCTGGCATAGCTGGTGGCACCCCTGGCTAGCTATGCAGCACACCCTGACCATAGCTGGTGGCAACCCCTGGCATAGCTAGCAGCACCCCTGGGTATAGCTGGTGGCACCCCTGGCATAGCTGGTGGCACCTCCTAGCTAGCCGCAGCACCCTGGCATAGCTGGTGGCACCCCTGGCATAGCTAGCAGCACCCCTGGCATAGCTGGTGGCATCCCTGGCATAGCTGGCAGCACCCCTGTCATACACTGGTGGCACCCCTGGCATAGCTGGTGGCACCCCTGGCATAGCTAGCAGCACCCCTGGCATAGCTGGTGGCACCCCTGGCATAGCTGGCAGCACCCCTGGCATACACTGATGGCACCCCTGGCATACACTGGTGGTATCCCTGGCATACACTGATGGCACCCCTGGCATACACTGATGGCACCCCTGGCATACACTGATGGCACCCCTGGCATACACTGATGGCACCCCTGGCATACACTGATGGCACTCCTAGCATACACTGATGGCACCCCTAGCATACACTGATGGCACCCCTAGCATACACTGATGGCACCCCTGGCATACACTGATGGCACCCCTGGCATACACTGGTGGCACTCCTGGCAACGCTGGTGGCACTCCTGGCATACGCTGGTGGCACCCAGTCTGAGAACCTCTGCCCTAAAACATAGGACAACCCGTGGGGACCGCCATGAAATCTCGCAGCCGAACGAGATTGGGATGACTTTTGTAAGTAGTACCTGTATACACATATTCTAGGCTCTCTTGACCTAAGTATGTTGTAGACACTCTTGACCGTCATAGTGTCAAGTGTTAGACCTAAGTATGTTGTAGGCTCTCTTGACCGTCATAGTGTCAAGTGTTAGACCTAAGTATGTTGTAGACTCTCTTGACCGTCATGGTGTCAAGTGTTAGACCTAAGTATGTTGTAGGCTCTCTTGACCGTCATGGTGTCAAGTGTTAGACCTAAGTATGTTGTAGGCTCTCTTGACCGTCATGGTGTCAAGTGTTAGACATAAGTATGCTGTAGACTCTCTTGACAGTCATGGTGTCAAGTGTTAGACCTAAGTAATGTGTATACTCTCTTGACCAGTCCAGTCAAGTGTTTAGACCCTAAGTATGCTAGACTCTCTTGACAGTCATGGTGTCAAGT